TGGTGGTCAGGGGTGTGGTAGTGGTGGTCAAGGGTGTGGTAGTGGTGGTCAGGGGGGTGGTAGTGGTGGTCAGGGGTGTGGTAGTGGTGGTCAGGGGTGTGGTAGTGGTGGTCAAGGGTGTGGTAGTGGTGGTCAGGGGGGTGGTAGTGGTGGTCAGGGGTGTGGTAGTGGTGGTCAGGGGTGTGGTAGTGGTGGTCAAGGGTGTGGTAGTGGTGGTCAGGGGGGTGGTAGTGGTGGTCAGGGGTGTGGTAGTGGTGGTCAGGGGTGTGGTAGTGGTGGTCAGGGCTTCAGGACAAGATGAATATTGTCAATAAACGAAGATTGGCCCCAAGACAAGTACCAGCGGTGAGAGACAGTAGACTATAGCCAACCTTCAATTTCACCTGATGCCTCTGTTCACCAAGCAGTAAACAGGTCCTGTGAGTTAATCAACTGCTGTAGGCTGTGTTCTGGAAAAAGTCGGTAGCTGACCTAGTAGATAGGATAGAGAAATAAGGTCGGAAGTCCTTGTATTAAAACAATCAGCGGTTGGAAAGGCGTGGTCCAAGAGCTGCAATCTCTCTCTCTCCTTGCAAGCCCAAGTAGGTGAGTGCGCAGCAACATTCTCGCCCTCGGACCCAACGACCTGAGAAGCACTCAGGCAAGCAGGAACCTGGGCCGGGGTTCAAGAAGCAGTTAGGAACCTCTACACCTTTCCTCAGCCTCTGGCGGCGGCTGTGTTTACATTTATTAAACAGTTGAGCATCGCCGAGACTTGCCAGTAGTGTTGTTGTTGTTGTTGTGAAGAGCCTCCTGGCGCTCCCCGGCTCATCAACTCTTTATTAGTACATGTAAACAAAGGCGCCAGAGATTGTGAGAAGATGTAGAGGTTCGTAAGTGGTTGTGTAACGTCTTGGCGACTCCAGGGCGGCCCCGCCACCGTCCCGCTGACAATGGCGGCCCCGCCACCGTCCCGCTGACAATGGCGGCCCCGCCACCGTCCCGCTCACAATGGCGGCCCCGCCACCGTCCCGCTGACAATGGCGGCCCCGCCACCGTCCCGCTCACAATGGCGGCCCCGCCACCGTCCCGCTGACAATGGCGGCCCCGCCACCGTCCCGCTCACAATGGCGGCCCCGCCACCGTCCCGCTCACAATGGCGGCCCCGCCACCGTCCCGCTCACAATGGCGGCCCCGCCACCGTCCCGCTCACAATGCACGGCCCCGCCACCGTCCCGCTGACAATGGCGGCCCCGCCACCGTCCCGCTGACAATGGCGGCCCCGCCACCGTCCCGCTGACAATGGCGGCCCCACCACCGTCCCGCTGACATTGGCGGCCCCACCACCGTCCCGCTGACAATGGCGGCCCCACCACCGTCCCGCTGACAATGGCGGCTCCGCCACCGTCCCGCTCACAATGGCGGCCCCGCCACCCTGTGCTGGGTGCTCCCAGGCGCGCTCTAGTCAACTGTGCCACCACATAGTAAAAGAATTGCATCCTGGAGTACTCAGTCCGACCTCATAAACAAAGACCATTCCATCCACCCGCCAAACCCGCTTGTTTTTGAATGAAAAACGATTTACACACGACTCATAACTGATGACGTAAGAACACTTCCGGAACAAGTAAGTAGTTATCAAAAAGAAGGCACCAAACCGGGAAGGCTATGTAGAACCACCAAATGTGCTGAATGATCAGAGGGCGCTCAATATCACCAAAGATGCCAATACGAGAACAGAAAGCTATAAGGTGAACGAAATCAAAAGTATCCAATTCACCAAGAATTCTATCAAGGGACAAGTAACCGCGAGGGATGGTCGGAGAGCAAGACACACGCTCGTCCTGGAAGTCAGGACATTCAACAAGGACATCCACGACCGTAAGAGGGACAACGCAATTTGGACAATAAGGAGCTGAATGGTGCTTCATTAAGTGACCGTGAGTTAAGCGAGTATGGCCAAGACGCAACCGGGCTACAGCAGTTTCCCACCGCCGGTTAAGGTGGCAGGAGGAAGGCCATGGGAACACACAACTCTTTTAAGATTACGTAGTTTGTTACCAACAACAGAAGACCAACAACCCTGCCAACGGGCAAGGATGGAGGAATGAATTACCGGATAAAAATCGGTAAAAGTTTATAGAACATTCTCCTTTACGGGAAATGGGACAAGAGCGGATAGCCTCCCTAGCGGCAGCATCCGCACGCTCATTTAAAGAAACACCAACATGGCTGGGAACCCAACAAAACTCTACGGATTTAAATTTACTAGAGATAAGAAACAGCCAATGTTGAATCTCGACGACAACGGGATGGACAGGATTAAAGGACCTGAGAGTCATGAGGGCACTACGAGAGTCAACGACAATCACAAAGGAGGATTGACAACGAGAAAGCAGGAGACGGAGAGCATGGAGCATAGCATAAAGTTCCGCTGTGAAGATGCTAGTGTCCGAAAGAAGGCGACACATATAAGTGCGGTCAGGAAAAACAATGGAGTAGCCCCACACCGTCCGCAGACTTGGACCCATCGGTGAAGATGGAAACGGAGCAGGAGTGTGAAGAAAAATGCTTAAGAAAAAGGCGTTTCAGAACCGTAGGAGGAGTAAAAGCTTTAGTAATGCGAGTCAAGGACATACAAAACTTCGGAAGGGGGACCCTCCATGGGGGCAAGGAAGGAACAATACGAGGAGAAATATTCAAAATTCAAATTCAAAATTCAAATGTTTATTTAGGTAAAGTACATACATACAAGGGGTGATACAAATATTGCTGAATTTATAGAGCTAGTATATACAATGCCTAAAGCCACTATTACGCAGAGCGTTTTGTCACATATGAGAAAGACGAATGGAAAGAGAGACCTGTAAGCGAGATAGCCGGACAGAAAGAGAGGGGTGGTGAAGAGGAACAGGAGCTACAGGAGGGGTAAAAGTCAAAGCACGACAGAGGCGAGAGAAAGGATGTTGCAAGGACCTCGCCAGATAGCGAAGACAGTAGCGATCACAGCGGTCCTGGATAGGAAACCAGTGTCAACATACAAGCTGAGGGCGGGAGACGAACGAAAAGCACCAGAGCTGAGGCGCAACCCAGCATGGTGCAAAGGATCAAGACGGTGAAGAGTAGAAGGAGAAGCAGACGAGTAAGCAGGGCAACCATAATCGAGTTTAGACATGACGAGGTCTGACAGTCAAGGAATATGCAGTCTGCCCATCCTTCTCTCAGTCATCTTGTTGTAAAACTCCAGCAAGTTTGTCAAGCAAGATTTCCTTTACTATAACCATGGTAGTGTCTTGAGACAAACTTGACCTGTTCTAAATGTTGTAGAAGTGTGCTTCTGGTCAGTCTCTCTCCAGCAACTTGTAGGGGTTAGTTGTTAGTGATACGGGTCTGTAGTTTAATGGTGTCTGTCTTCCCCCTTACTTGTAGATTGATGCCACATTACCCATTCTCCAGCTGTCAGAAAGTTCTCCCGTATCTAGAGAGGAACTAAATATCACGACAAGTGGGTTGCACAACGCTTCCGCTGCCTCTTTTAGTACCCAGGGTGATATATTGTCTTGTCCCACGGCAGTTGTCACATCCAGTTGCTGCAGTTACTTCTTTACTTCTTCTGGCGTCACTGTTACTTCAGTGAGGCGCCTTACCCGGTCAGTTTGAGCTCTAAAGCTCTAGTGGTAAATCTGACTCCAGCTTGAATACTTCCTGAAGGCTTTTGTTAAGTTCCTCACACACCTCCTTATCATCTTCCATGTGCCTTTCCTCACTGTTGTCAAGTGTGATAACCTGATCATTGTCAGTCATCTTCCTCCTGATGTGTTTATAGAACAGTTTGGGCAGGGACATAGTCTTGTATGTAATGTTACTCTTGTACTGCTTCTCTCTCACTCTCCTAGTGACTGTGTACTGCTTCACTGTCACTCTCCTAGTGACTGTGTACTGCTTCACTGTCACTCTCCTAGTGACTGTGTACAGCTTCACTGTCACTCTCCTTGTGACTGTGCACAGCTTCTCTGTCACTCTCCTAGTGACTGTGTACAGCTTCTCTGTCACTCTCCTGGTGACTGTGTACAGCTTCTCTGTCACTCTCCTAGTGACTGTGTACAGCTTCTGTCACTCTCCTAGTGACTGTGTACAGCTTCTCTGTCACTCTCCTAGTGACTGTGTACAGCTTCTCTGTCACTCTCCTAGTGACTGTGTACAGCTTCTCTGTCACTCTCCTGGTGACTGTGTACTGCTTCTCTGTCACTCTCCTAGTGACTGTGTACAGCTTCTGTCACTCTCCTAGTGACTGTGTACAGTTTCTGGCCTCTATGTATGTCTTGTGACGTGGTACTGTTGGGTGTGCGATCCGTCCTGCTAAAAGAGCGTCATATGTTGACATATACTCCACCCACGGCCAAAAATCGTCGGACTAGTAAATGGAAGTGGCTCGCCAAATTGACATAATGTCCCGTTATCTGTTTTCGGTCCTGTGGTAGGGTAATGCTAAGGGTAACTTTAGTACGACAGTTTCTTGACATTGGGAAACCTCAGGAGAACGGGCTGGGTGTGTCCCTGTCCGGCATAGCTGCGTACTGGTGTGCTGGGTGTTCCTAGAATACCTGAAACTGTAGTCGAAGTCGTGAAAACGACTACGAACACTTTTTCGAAGTCGTGAAAGCGACCACGAACAGCTTTTCGAAGTCGTGAGAGCGACTACGAACACCTTTTCGAAGTCGTGAGAACGACTACGAACAGCTTTTCGAAGTCGTGAAAGCGACCACAAACAGCTTTTCGAAGTCGTGAGAGCGACTACGAACAGCTTTTCGAAGTCGTGAAAGCGACCACAAACAGCTTTTCGAAGTCGTGAGAGCGACTACGAACACCTTTCCGAAGTCGTGAGAGCGACTACGAACACCTTTTCGAAGTCGTGAAAGCGACCACGAACACCTTTCCGAAGTCGTGAGAGCGACTACTAACACCTTTTCGAAGTCTTGAAAGCGCCCGTAAACACCTTCTCGTCTTCTCTGCCCCTGCAGGAGCTGGCGGAGTGGCTGGACGGCGCCGGAGAGGCTGGGGTGGTGTACTTCAGCCTGGGGTCCTTCCAGCAGACCTCCAGGATCCCCCCGAGGTATAAGGAGACACTCCTGAGGGCCTTCGCCACCCTCCCTCACCGCGTCCTCGTCAAGTTCAGCGACACCGACCTCCAGCTGCCTCCCAACGTCCGCTCCTTCCCCTGGCTGCCCCAGCAGGATATTCTTGGTGAGTAACGCTTTCTTGTGCACCAACTATTTGGACTCGCTGGTCCGCGTTCGAGCCCTGATGAGCCAAGTATAATTGGGCAACATTCCTTCATTTCATCATGTCTAGGTTCCTGTTTCTCATATCCCAGGTCCTTGTCCTCATATCCCAGGTCCTTATCCTCATATCCCAGGTCCTTATCCTCATATCCCAGGTCCTTATCCTCATATCCCAGGTCCTTGTCCTCATATCCCAGGTCCTTGTCCTCATATCCCAGGTCCTTGTCCTCATATCCCAGGTCCTTGTCCTCATATCCCTTGCAAGGGTTCCCACAGCTACACTGACAAGTCTGTCTGATGCACCCTGGGTGACAGCACCCTGGGTGACAGGAGCCATCCCCCCCCTCACAACAAACTGACCATAACTCCCAGGTACCTATTGACGGCAAGGTGAACAGGTGCATTAGGTGAAAGAAACAGATCGATGCAATTGTGTACACCGACAGCCTGGTGTACCACAGGAGGACAGAAGTGCGATGGCCTCAACATGTACTCACCTAGTTGTGCTTCCGGTGGTTGAGCTTTGGCGTTGGTCCCGCCTCTCAACTGTCAATCAACTGGTGTACGGTTCCTGAGCCTACTGGGCTCTATCATATCTACATTGTAAACTGTGTATGGAGTCAGCCTCCACCACATCACTGCCTAATGCATTCCATTTGTTAACTACTCTGACACTGAAAAAGTTCTTTCTAACGTCCCGGTGGCTCATTTGGGTACTCAGTTTCCACTTGTGTCCCCTTGTTCGCGTACCACCAGTGTTAAACAGGTTATCTTCATCTACCCTGTCAACTCCTTTGAGAATTTTGTAGGTAGTGATCATGTCTCCCCTAACTCTTTTGTCTTCCAATGTCGTGAAGTTCAGTTCCAGTAATATTTCCTCTTGTGCTCCACAAGATGCGGATTCCATGCCGGTGCTGCATATTCCAGCAGTGGTCTAACCAATGTTGTGTAGATTGTCTTGAGGGAGACATGATTCAGGTGTTCATGTATTTGCCAGCGTCGCACATGCTGCTGATGTTATCCTGTTTGTGTGTGTCTCCGGTGTGAGCGTTGGGAGTATATCCTGTGTAGCTGCCTTCTCTGTATGGTGTAGCAGCCTTCCCTGTATAGTGTAGCAGCTGTGGGAACCGACCTGTGAGATTTATATTTATTTAATTTATATGAATTTATATAGAATTTATATTTACGTTAATTTATATACTTCGATAGCAATTTGTATGATAATGAGTGGACTGTATTTCTGCAATAATCTCTAATCTCACAAATCGATCCTCTACACATTAGGGGGGTTATTAAATTAATATATATGCAGCCAATCAAACTGCAGAATTAACTACATACATTGAAGAGGTTCCTTATCTTATAGTACAGCAGGTTAGTCCACCAGGTATAACTAGGGTGTAGACACCAAATTATCCTCTTTGAGGTAGCTTCCATATCACCCAGTAACTGGTGCACAAATCTTGCTTCCTCGTCTTGACCTGTCAAAAGTGCGCTAGCTGTGAAGCCAGAATCCTATATATGACAAGCTATATCAGAGAAAACACTATACAGTACATGGAACAATAAAGACCTGGCTTAATTACCTTTATTATGAGGCGATTTCGCGTTCTAACCGGCTAACCCTACCCAATGACATTAATGGCCACTAATGATAGATAATGGGTTTCGGAAAGAACACTTAACTTGAATTTGTAGACAGCGTAGACAGCATAATGGTACACTTTTAGTTTCCATAACACTACGTCCAAGTAAATTTAACAGGAGCCGTATTTGCTCCCGTGTGAGCCTCTGGTCTAGTCTCAACAATGGCTGCATCTAACACTCCATACTATTGACGCCTGGCCGACATTGTCCAGATATGATAGGAGCCAAATTTGCTCCACACGTCTCGGAGGTGACACAACAATGGCTGCCCTCCTTCCTCACTCTCACGCCTGGCTTACATTGTCCACATGTCAGAAAGTGATTGAAGGGTCACATTTACTCTACTTTAATATTGATAATTAAGTTAACTTATATAAGATGTTTTTATGATGGTAAAGTCCAAAGACTAATGTATTTAAGAACAATTCCCAGCAGAATAGCTGGTGAATTATAATAGTATGTGGTGATGATATCCCGTTTTCTTTAGACGGTAATTCCACTACAAGTTACGTTTTCTATGGGTAACTTGTTTATACAATACAGCTATTATCTGTATGATATTAAATGGTGTCGGATTTTCCGACAGCAGCCTCCCTGTATGGTGTAGCTGCCTTCCCTGTATGGTGTAGCAGCCTTCCCTGTATGGTGTAGCAACCTTCCCTGTATAGTGTAGCAGCCTTCCCTGTATGGTGTAGCTGCCTTCTGCTCTCCTCTCTCCCTTTCCCACCTTCATTGCTTTACACTTCTTGGGACTGAATTCTAGAAACCAGTTGCGTGACCACTCATGGCGTTTGTCAGGGTCCTTCAGAAACTTACTGCAAGCCTCCTCTGTTTTTACATTCCTCATCGACCTTTCATCATGACCTGTCCGCGCTCGCTCCCTCGGGCAGGTCGTTCACATCTATTAGGAAGAGCAGTGGTCCCAGGACAGAGCCTTGTGGGACCCCACGTGTTGCATTCCTCCAGCTTGTGACCTCTCTGACTGTGACTGCTGTCTGATAATGGATAGAATCACTATCAGTTTGTGCCCTATATGCCTTGCCTTAAGACTTGAGTGGTGCTGGGAGGGGTTAAGAGGGGCTGGGAGGTGCTAGGAGGGGGCTGAGAACGGCTGAGAGGTGTTAGGAGCGGGCTGAGAGGGGGTGGTATGTGCTGGAAGGAGGCTGAGAGGTGCTGGGAAATGCTAGGAGGGAGTTGAGAGGGAGCTTGGAGGGGCTGTGAGGGTGTGAGAGGGCTAGAAGATGCTGAGAGGGGAGGTGCTATGAGGGGGAATGAGAGGGACTGGGAGGTACTGAGTACAGGCTGAGAGGTGCTAGGAGGGTCTGAGAGGGGCTGGGAGGTGTTGAAAGGGTCTAAAAGAGGCTGGGAGTTGATGAGAGGGTCTGAGAGGGGATAGGAGGTACAGAGAAGGTCTGAAAGAGGCTGGGAGGTGCTGAGAGGGGGGAGGGGGGTTGGAAGGGGCAGATTTTGAAAGAGAAATTAACAACATGCCCATGCACTCAGCCCCGGGGCCAGATTCATGGAATTCAATATTTATAAAGAAATGCAAAGTGCCAGTAGCACAGGCACTCAGTATAGTGTGGAGGAAGAGCTTGGACACGGGGGAGATACCAGATGCGCTTAAAGCAGCAGACATAGCCCCTCTACACAAGGGAGGGAGCAAAGCATTGGCAAAGAATTATAGATCAGTTGCACTAACGTCCCACATAATAAAAGTATTTGAGAGAGTGATCAGGAGTCCGGTCACTAGTTTCATGGAGACCAATGACCTTCACAACCCAGGCCAACATGGAGACCAATGACCTCCACAACCCAGGCCAACATGGAGACCAATGACCTCCACAACCCAGGCCAACATGGAGACCAATGACCTCCACAACCCAGGCCAACATGGATTTAGAGCAGGAAGATCGTGCCTCTCACAGCTACTTAACCTTTATAACAAAATCACTGAGGCATTAGAAGAAAAACAGAATGCAGATGATGTATACACGGATTTTGCAAAGACATTCGATAAATGTGACCATGGAGTGATTGCACACAAAATGAGGTCAATGGGAATAACTGGTAAAGTAGGACGCTGGATACTCAGTTTCCTGTCGACCAGAACACAGAGAGTAACAGTCAACCATATAAAATCGAGTCCAAGCGCAGTTAAAAGCTCTGTACCTGAAGGTACAGTCCTTGCACCACTGCTTTTCCTTATTCTCATATGAGATATAGACTCAAATACCAGGCACAGCTTCGAATCATTTTTTGCAGATGACACAAAAATCAGTATGAAAATTACCTCTGCTGAAGATATTGAAAAACTACAAGCAGATATTAATAAAGTTTTCGACTGGGCAGCAGACAATAATATGATGTTTAACAGTGATAAATTCCAGGTACTCAGGTACGGTAAAAATGAGAACCTTAAACATAATACAGGGTACAAAACACAATCAAATCTGTTCATAGTAGGAAAGCAGCATGTAAAGGATTTGGGAATAATGATGTCTGATGACCTAACGTTTAGGGAGCATAACCAAGCAAATATTGCGTCAGCCAGAAAAATGATAGGATGGATTATGAGAACTTTCAAATCCAGAGATCCCATCACAATGGTTGTACTCTTCAAGTCACTTGTGTTGTCCCGTCTTGAGTACTGCTCAGTACTCACTTCCCCCTTCAGAGCAGGAGAGATTGCTGAAATAGAGGGAATACAGAGAACATATACGGCACGCATACACGCGATAAAGCACCTAAATTATTGGGATCGTCTCAAAGCTCTCCAAATGTACTCACTAGAAAGGAGACGAGAGAGATACCAAATAATATACACGTGGAAAATACTGGAGGGCCAAGTCCCTAATCTTCACAGTAAAATAACAACGTACTGGAGTGAACGATATGGAAGAAAATGCAGAATAGAACCAGTGAAGAGCAGAGGTGCCATAGGCACAATCAGAGAACACTGTATAAACATCAGAGGTCCACGGTTGTTCAACGTCCTCCCAGCGAGCATAAGAAATATTGCCGGAACAACCGTGGACATCTTCAAGAGGAAACTATATAGTTTCCTCCAAGGAGTGCCGGACCAACTGGGCTGTGGTGGGTATGTGGGCCTGCGGGCTGCTCCAAGCAACAGCCTGGTGGACCAAACTCTCACAAGTCAAGCCTGGCCTCGGGCCGGGCTTGGGGAGTAGAAGAACTCCCAGAACCCCATCAAGCAGGTATCAACCAGGATTGGAAGTGCTGGGAGATTATGAGAGGGGATGGTAGGTGCTGAGAGTGGATGGGAGGTGCTGAGAGGGTTTGAGAGGGGCTGGGAGG